TGTTTCCTGAACTTTTAATAGATTATCATGGTATTTTATTAACCACCGAGAATAGTTTGCTTGATTAAACATAAAAAATAAGTTGGCCATTTTCGGAATGACTTCTTTAAAAAGTTCGAAATCACCGATGCGGATGCTGCGAGTAAATATTAGGTAGTAGTCGACAAAATTAATATACATAGCGTAATACTGCGGCGTTTTTCCGAAGTCTCTAAAAGCGTTAGTTACAATGGCTGGTCCAGATATTATTTGCGTAGGTGCTGGGAAAGAGTCTCAAGAAGTTCTAAAGGTATCAAAACATTTTTATTACATATAAATAAATATATAATATTTGTTTATTAATTTACATATGTTTGCGTTGTAGAGAATAGAAAGAGAAGCAACGTACACTTACCAAACGTTAACCGTGCCTGAGGACGACGCAGCCAACGTGCTCTACGTGAAAGGTACCCTGATTCATCGATCAGAAGAGGAGATCCCACAGTCTAGCAAAGTTTTCGCAGAGAAAATCGAATTTCCTACCAGATCTTTGTGCATGTCCGAATTAGCGAAAGTCAGTTCTGGCCTGACTTCTTGTTGCTTGTTGGTGCGTAGACCGCGACATATTCGCAATATTTAAATCAGCAGATGGCGTGACTAGCAAGATTAAATTGCCAGAATCGTGAAAAGAACAGTTCAAGTATTTCTGTTTAGAAATATTATCGAGATGCTGTGGAAGAAACTGTAACATTGCAAATAATGCAATTCTTTATTCGAGTCTCTTATTTCGGGTTAAGGAATACAGCTTGAAATACGAGACTCAAATTGTCTCTTGCGAACTGAGACTGTGCACTGATATTCATAAATTAAGGCTTTAAAGTGACTCGTATTTAAATCGAGTCTCTTAAGCCATTAATCTTCATCTTCTATCTGTAGATTATTATTAGACTGCGGATCTTCATATAAACTAAGATTTATAATACAAGTTTAAAAGACCTGTTTCAGATGAGCATTTATTTAATCGTTTAAGCATTGAAATGTGCATTTAGCTTTGGATATTCTGTACTGTCTTATACATTACATGCTGCATTTATCATTTGTGCACATTGCATTTTCATATAATTGTATAAAATCCGCTGTCTAATTATCAAATGAAAAGTTTAAGTATTTCTAATTGCTGTGCAAGAATCTATCACATTGCACAGTCTGCAGTTGTTTACTCGAGTCGCTTATTTCGGGTTCAGGAATACAGCTTGAAATATGAGACTCAAATTGTCTCTTATGAGCAGAGCAATAAGGCAAGAGTGACTCGTATTAATGTTAAATTCGAGACTCTCAAGTAACTATTCTGGTTTCGAATCCCATTTTTTGGTAATTTTTTAAGATAATTAATCTTTAGATCGCCAAAAAGCCGAATTATCGACTTTATACTCTATTTCACGAGTGACTAGGAGTCGACACGGTTCAGTTTTTGGCATTAGTGAGGAAAACAGTTGAATCCAGAGTGGGACTTAAAAGCTACAAAGAGGAAGCTTGCAACCCCTGGTCTGAATNAAGCAATTGTCAGTATTCCGATACCTTCGAATGCATTTGCTACTAGTCTATAAAACGTGTTCACCTATTCGATTAACACTCATCTAGAATTCAATTATAGTGACTCCTACATTAATATTTTGACACGTCTCAAAACGGAATAACTTTTTTAATATTCGACCAAACAACTTAATGTTAAATAGGCTCTCAAAATATTTAAATTAAGAAGTTTTCTAATCAATAATTCAAGGAAAGATAAGTTTAGTATTAAAGAGTCCTATTTTTAAGAGGAGACTTGAATTTCTCTTAAAAAGCACTAATTTTGAGAAGGGGTTTTAAAAGAATTAGGGGGGCAGGCGAAATTTTTAATGCTTATGGCCCCCATTCGTCTTAATCCGCCGCTGCGAGTCCATATTCTGGTGTTACCAAGTTTTTTTATGAGACGATGTGTAAAGGTCAATGAAGGTCAACTTGAATTTAAGTGGAACGAAGTATATTGTGGATTTATGAAGAGTTATACGCATGTACAAAGTGTCATCAAAATTTATTAACATTACTAGGAGATATAAGTAACTAGAAATTTCAAAAATCGCAGTTTTCACGACTTCCAGTGCGCAACTTAAAAACACTGAAGAATTTTTGTGTAACTTTCTTATACATTCACCGACTTTGATGAAATTTTACACATGCATATAACTTACATCTCCAAATGGTTCGAAATTTTTATTGGAGACCTTAATAAAAAAGCTAAAAACCATACCTCTTTTTTTTAGATTCTGGTGATTTTCAATTTTTTGTTACATGTAGTAAATTAAGTCTCTTATCCCAAAGAAACTCAAATTGTTTAACCCAATATTAAAAACAGTTATTCTATTTTGAAATGTCTGTTAATATTAATAAGCGTCACTGTATATGCTAAAAGTTATTAATACATAAAAAGCACTGATAGTTAAGAGTTAACGTGCTGATTCACATTATAGGAAAGTTGCGCGATTAAGAGTCTACTGAGTATAAAACGGAAACAAACCTTCTCTATAAGAACAAACTTCATATAATTAAATCTATGTATTGCAATCAACTTGGACATTTTCAGCAGATTTATAATAATTAGACTGCGGATTTGATGCACTTATGATAAGATTTAACATGAAGAAAATACAAACATAATGCACTTAATGTATACTAATATTGAGAATATGGAAAATTGCAATATTTATACTCGTATTTCCGAGAGTCTAGGACCGGGCACAGTTCAATGCTTTACCGTGTATACTGAATCGTGTGGAGGTACAAAAGTGCATAAAATAGCAACAGTTGAAAAGATTGAAACACATTTTTACTAAATTCTTGAAATTTATACTGTAAAAGTTTTGTTTTGCATAAAAATCCGCAGTCTAGTAATAAGAACTCGTTACAGACACACGACGACATTGACGTACGATTTACGTCGACCTGAAACTTGACTATACTTGAGTTCCCGAGTGACTAGGAGCCGGAACGGTTCAGTCGTTCTGCGCATCTCCCACCCATATTTACCAGTTCCCAATACAAGCGTGTCCTTATTGTCCTACCGTGTATAATGAACCGTAGTCGGTGAGGCGGCATGGTGGGAGGTCCGAGACGTTCGCTGCGG